AGTTGGAGGTTGCTGTGAGCTGTAATGCCACGGCACTCTACCCAGGGGGACAGCTTGAGGCTCTGTCTCAAAAAAAAAAAAAAAAAAAAAATCTGAAATAAATCAACAATACTCTTCATTTTGATACATAAGATACTCATTTTTAGGTTTCAAGTTAAATAGAAAAGTATAATTTAACAAAAATAATTGACTTAGCTCTAGTGTCTTCTCTCTCCTTGAAAGAGTTGGTTTGATAAATTACAAAATTAAACTTGTTAGCTTTACCTCCTACTAAATTTGGCTACTTTCTCTGTCCTGGCTTCTTAGACTCTGTCATTTCTGACCTGTTATGGTTTAATAACCTCCCCTTTTTGATTCCCAGCTTTTAGTCCCTCCCTTCATGTCTTTCTTCCTGTATAATAGATGTACATATGTGAGGGGTACGTGTGATAACTTAATACATTCATATAATTTGTAAAGGTAAATCAGTGTACTTCGGATATTTTATCACCTTAGATATTTGTCTTTTCTTTATGTTAGAACTATCCAAATTCTTTTCTTCTAGCTATTTTGAAATATATAGTAGATTATACTATAATCTCCTTACTATCTAAAACTAGGTCTGTCTTCTTCCGAACTCATAAATTTGTATCCATTAATTAACTTCTCTTTATCCAGCTCTAACCCCAACCCTTCCTGGCCTCTGGTTACCACCAGTCTATTCTCTCTTTTCATGAGATCCATTTCGTGAGCTCCCACATGAGTGAGAACATAGCATATTTGTCTTTCTGTGCTTGGCTTATTTCGCTTAACCTAATGACTTCCAATTCTGCTATGTTGCTGCAAATGATGAAGATTTCATTCTTTTTTACGACTGAGCAGTATTCTGTGGTATAAATGTACCACATTTCCTTTTTTTTAAGATTACAAAAGGGTAAATATGATTAGGTTAAATTGTTTGCATCCAAGTTGTAGTTGTGTGCCTCACCCAGGAAGTGTGCAGTATGCCCATGTGTTATTCCCATTGGAATGTACCACATTTTCTTTATTGATTGATCTGTTAATGGACACTTATGTTGATTTCTTATTTGGGCTATTGTGAATAATACTGCAATAAACATGGGTGCGCAGATGTTTTGTTTTTGGGTTTTAGGGTTTTTTGGGGGGGGAGGTTTGCAGTTTTTGGCCAGGGCCAGGTTTGGACCTGCCACCTACAGTATATGGAACCGGTGCCCTACTCCTTGAGCCACAGGTGCCGCCCACAGATGTACTTTTGATATATTGATTTCCTTTCTTTTGGATATATACCCAGTAGCAATCTCATCCATTTCTGATTCATTCTTCCTCCAAAGTGCAAGAATCTTTTACAGAAGCCAAATCTAAGCGTGTTACTCTTCTGCTTAGAATACTTTAGTGCCCACCTCCCACCCCATTGCTCTCTGATGAAGGCCTAACTTGATAGTGTGGTACATCAACTCCCCAGCCAGTTGTCCCCTAGCTACATAGAGTCATAAGCCTTTCAGGATTTAGCTTGGCCACCCTTTCCTACAAGGCCTTCTCTCATAACTCACCCCCTCAACTCCACCCTGAGGCAGAGTTAATTCTTTTACTCTATGCTCCTATGTAACCTTATCCTTATCTCTAACTGATAGCATTGAATATGATATTACAGTGCCCATTAGAGTCTCTTTCCTAGACTGGACTCTTAAGTTTTCTAAGGGTAGAAAACAACTGTATCTGTTTCATCCTTGTATCCCTATAATTTAGCATCCTGCCTCATACATAATAGAACTTTTTAAATACATGTAGAATAATGCATCAATCAATCCATCTTTTTTTATTTTTTTGAGATAGAGTCTCAGTTCGTCGCCCTTGGTAGAGTGCTGTGGCGTCACAGCACAACAACCTCCAACTCTTGGGCTTAAGCGATTCTCTTGCCTCAGCTTCCTGAGTAGCTGGGACTACAGGTACCTGCCACAATGCCTGGCTATTTTTTGTTGCAGTAGCCACTGCTGTTTTAGCTGGCCAGTTCAGGTTCAAACCCGCCACCCTCGGTATATGGGGCTGGCACCCTACCCACTGAGCCATAGGCACCGCCCCACCTCCTTTCTTAAAACTGCAATTACAGGGAAGCGCCTATGGCTCAGTGAATAGGGTCCTGGCTCCATATACCAAGGGTGGCAGTTCAAACCCGCCCCAGCCAAACTGCAACAAAAAAAATAGCCAGGCATTGTGGTGAGTGCCTGTAGTCCCAGCTACTCGGGAGACAGAAGCAAGAGAATTGCCTAAGCCCAAGAGCTGGAGGTTGCTGTGAGCTATGGTGCAACAGCACTCTACTGAGGGCAACAAAGTGAAACTCTTTAAAAAAAAAAAAACCTGCAATTAGAAAGCTAATACGATTTTTTTAGCTGAAATCAGGAAACAAGGAAAGAATGAGTGTTATATTGAGCTTTTGAATGAAATTCTAATTCCCAATCATGTAAAATGAGAGGCAGTTAAAACAGCAAGGAGTATGTTGGTTGAACTATAGTCTTATGCTACCTATATCTATGGCCTGAGACAGCTTTTTGATCACAATTTTCTGACTTCTTGATTCCTCATTCTGTTATTTTACTTTGTTGGGATATAGCAATAGAAAAAAACAAAATCTAGAACCAACAACCTGAATCTTGGTTTATTTCCCTCAATTATAGAAGAAATGCAATTTTTTTTTTTTTTTTTTTTGGAAGAGTTTCACTCTGTCACCCTAGGTAGAGTGCTATGGCATCATAGCTGAGAGCAGCCTCCAAACTCCTGGGCTCAAGCGATCCTCTTGCCTCAGTTTTTCACTTTTGTTGATGTTGTTGTTGTTGCAGTTGTCGTTGTTTAGCTGGCCCAGGCCAGGTTCGAACCTATGTGGCTGGCCCTCTACCCTCAGTTTACATTTTTAGTAGAGACTATGTCTTACTCTTGCTCAGGCTGATCTCAAACCAATGAGTTTAAGCAATCTGCCTGCCTTGGCCTCCCAGAGTGTTAGGATTACAGGTGTGAGCCACTTTGCCCAGCCAAGAAATGTAGTATTTTAAAACAAAAATTTGGCAAATTAAAAAATGAAGAAATTTTAAAATCACCTAAAAGCTCACTTCCATAAGATACAATGATTTCATTTTTGTGTTTTTCCTTTCTTTGTTTCAACATTTTTTCTTCCATTGCTTCAGAAGCATTTACCAGCCACACTGGCCCCTTTGTAGTTCCTGTAAGCTGTGGTACCAGCACCTCTGCAGGTGCTGTCTCTTTGACCCAGAGCACACTTCCTGGGACCACTGCAGGACAACAAAGGATCTTGGCCTAAATAATGACTGATTCTGTTTCCAAATTCTTCCTAACTTCTAGACTAGAAGTCCAGCAGTGCTTGCCCAATATATAATTAAAGTTGTTTATGAGCTTGTGCAGGGGCTCACACCTGTAATCCTAGCACTCTAGGAGGCCAAGGCCAGAGGATGACATGAGCTTAGGAGCTGGAGACCAGACTGAGCAAGAGTGGGACCCTGTCTCTACTAAAAATACAAAAATTGGTTAGGCCAGGAAGATGGCTTGAGCCCCAGGAGTTTGAGGTTATAGTGATGCCACTGCGCTCTACCCAGAGTGACAGAGTGAGACTCTGTCTCAAAAAAAAAAAAGTTGTTTATGTTCTTATGAGAGTAAAAAGCTTTTTAACAACTCTTTGTGGTTTGCTTAGTGAGTCTCAAATTATTCACGCCCTGGAAAAGCAGAATAACAAACATTTATTCAGTGCATTTTTCTTCACATGTGAGGAGTCTATCCCTTGCCACCTCCTGAGGCTGGAACTCCTACTTTTTGCTTACCCCCAAATTTAAGTATTTATGTTCCTTATTTTTATTGAAGGAGAATTTGTAATTTCATGGGCCCTTAGGGTTGGGCCCCTGTCTTGCTCTCTTCAGTATTCTCAGATTGTGGGTCCCAGAACCCTTAGCCATAAGCATTACCTGGGAACTTTTTAGAAATGCATATTCTCAACCCCTCACTGAGCCTAGTGAATAAGAAAAGAGTCGTGCACAGATCTGTGCATCCCCATATTCTCCAGATAACTCTGATAGGTGCTATAGTTTGAGAACTTCTGCTTCAGGGACTTCTGAGGTTCTCAGACTTGCTGACAGTAACCAGCCTGGTCCACAGTAAGTCTTTATAGCTACACATGACACCCTGTTACTTTAGCCACATAATCTCTTCCTGACCTGCCTGATGCTGGCTATTTTCTTTGGCTCAAATCTGTCATCATAGCCTGTGGGCCTCCCGTTACTGTGGCCTGTCTGGCTGGATTTTATCTGAGCAGCTGCAACAGGGTTAGTCTAACATCCCCATCACCTGCCCTCAGTGAACTTCTCTTGCCCTAAGTTATATCCCCTTTAGGTTTCTCCTTAAATTAACCCTACCATTACCAATCCTGACAAAAGGTATGACATATATCTTAATAACTAATTTCAAAGCACAGGTTCAAATGATAGGCGAAAACACACAAATGCTTGGAGTGTTTAGAATTCATAAGAAGGAGAAAGGATGGGAAGAGACTTTTTGCTATTATATCTATTTATATTCTCTGATTTTTGAGTAAGTTGAATGCGTTACCTACTCAGAAATAATTATGTTTAATTATTCTCAAAAATGCATAGTAAAAATAAAAATAGGGAAAATTTCCTGGAAGAAGTGAGTTATGAATTTCATCCAGGATTGTGTAAGGGGCAAAGGTTAATGATGAAGAGAAGGGAGCACATTCCAGATGAGAAAGGAAGATTGGTAACCAGGCTAGTGCAATCCACACAGAGACTGCAGATAGATGGGGTCAAGAGCCAGTGCTAACTGGTGTCGTTTTACCAAACTGTGCTGTTTTTGACGACCATGTTTAGGTTGTAGAATTGCACTGAAAGACGGAGATGAGAAAACAGATGAAGAACCGGATGGGCCATTTTCAGAAGATGAGATGTTAACACACAGAGGGCTTCGGAGGACGCAAAGCATGAAATCTGTGAAAACCAGCAAAGTTCGCAAGGAGGTTAGTCAGGTGCAGAGTTGTTTTCCTAAGGATTAGTATTAAGGGATTTCCTTGCTGCTGATCTTTCAGGGTATTAATGATCCATAAGTGAAGGATTGGAAAGGTAGAGCAGCAGTCTTATTGAAAATTCTGTATTCAGGCTCAGCGCCTGTGGCTCAAGCGGCTAAGGCACCAGCCACATACACCTAAGGTGGCGGGTTCAAATCCCCAGCCCGGGCCCACCACGCAACAATGATGGCTGCAACCAAAAAATGGCGAGGCGTTGTGGCGGGCGCCTGTAGTCCCAGCTACTTGGGAGGCTGAGGCAGGAGACTCGCTTGAGCCCAGGAGTTGGAGGTTGCTGTGAGCTGTGATGCCACGGCACTCTACCCAGGGGGATAGCTTGAGGCTCCATCTCAAAAAAAAAAGAAAAAAGAAAATTCTGTATTCAGATCAGATGTGTTAGGACTGCAGGAAATTTTGAAAAAGATAAATTCCTAGTCTTCTACTCTAAGTAGAAAATGGTGTTTCCACACAGCAAATTACATGGTTACTGTGACTACCCAGTGCCAGCCCTCTGCATAAGCAAGAAAAGCAACTAACAAAATTAATTACTTTTGCTTTCAGTCAACCTAACATGATTATATAATAAAAATTTGTCTGTCTTAATACATTGTTTTTGTGCCTAGAAAGCAGGGAGTTACAGTGAATGACCTCAGATCATTATGGTCAATCTTCATTGACATTATACAAGGCAAAAAATAAATGATAACATTAATGCTTTTATTAGTTGTAAAAACAATCTACAATATATATCCAGTATAGTAGCAACTACATACATTTTATGTCTCATACCCGCTGTGCATAATTATAATTAGTAGGATAATTGAATTTTTATATCAGAAAGGTTTTTTAAATGTCTGTAATTATTAACAATTAAATCTTATTTAATTTTTTTTTAAAAATTAATTCTCAATACATTTCTCTCTTCAGGTACGGTATGGGTCACTAAAATACAGAGTGAAGAAGAGACCACAAGTATATTTTTAGTCATCTACACTTCAAAAAATCCCAAGACAAATTTTGTGAATACATTGACTTCATTTTCTGACATAATATATTTGGGATCTATGCATTAAAATAATTGTGGTGGTGATAGGATTTATTTATCTTAAAATTGTGGCGGTGATGGGATTTACTTTCATGAATTTAAATCATTTCTATTTCTTTAACAGTTTCTTCCAAATATTGACTGCTAAAGGTAGTTAGGCAAGACATATTAACACGTGTATATATATCAGAAAGTATAGAAAATCACATTATCTGTTTTCAAATTCATCAGTAACATGAAGTGCCTGAGATAGAAGATGAAACACAAGCCCACGGTATACTTGAAAAGAGTCTTTTTATGATTCAGGATAAATCAGCCTTTGTGGTGCTGTACTGTGTTTACTTCCATTGTCTATCGCGTGAGAATAGTAATTAAACAGGCCTCTGATCTGGCAGTGATACAACAAGGACATAATGTAAGAAAATAAAGTATGATACTCTTTTTAAGTTTTTACTTTTAGAATGCTTTCTAGTTTTTCTACCATCATCTGAAAGTCTTTGAAACAAATATTTGAAAACCAGGTATCCACATAGCACTTTTATTCCTATCTAGTTTTGCACACTTAAAAATTGTTTACTTATTTTACAACTGTATATTTACTTTGAGTTTTATCGACCCTGTCTTTATTGTTATTTGTTCTTTTCTGACATGTCAAATTTATGCCTTGAATTATATCATCTCTTTTTCTGTGGGTTTCATTTGTTAAATTAGGTGTATTTTAGTAATATAAAAATATAGCTAATTGTTTAGTTTTAACTATTTTTAAGTATCTTCTTAACAAATAAGAAGTTCCTTAAGGGCGGCACCTGTAGCTCAGTGGGTAGGGCACTGGCCACATACACCAAGGGTGGCAGGTTGGAACCCAGCCTAGGCCAGCTAAAAAATAACAGTGGCAAATGCAACAAAAAAAATAACCAGGCATTGTGGCAGGTGCCTGTAGTCCCAGCTACCTGGGAGGCTGAGGCAAGAGAATCACTTAAGCCCAAGAGTGGGAGGTTGCTGTGAGCTGTGACAGCACGGCACTCTACCATGGGTGACATAGTGAGACGCTGTCTCAATAAAATTAACCAGTTTTCCATATTTAGCTGTATAGAGTAAGTAGTTGAACTTAATTTTTGTCAACACTGATTACATTTGCAGCCTTTAAAAATGGTAGCTTTGAGGCTGGGTACAGTGGCTCATGCCTGTAATCTTAGCACTCTGGGAGGCTGAAGCAGGTAGATTGCCTAAGCTCAGGAGTTCAAGACCAGCCTAAGCAAGAGTGAGACCCCATCTCTAAAAAAGTAGCTGGGTGTTGTGGCAGCTACCTGTAGACCCAGATATTTGGGAGGCTGAGTCAAGAGAAATCACTTGAGTCCAAGAGTTTGAAGTTGCTATGAGCTATGATGCAATGGCACTCTACGGAGGATAGACAAAGTAAGACTCTGTCTCAAAAAAAAAAAAAAGGTAGCCTTTGTGAAATAGAGTCAGAGACCAGTGTAGCACTTAGGTCCCTTCTAATTCATAAAATTTTCAACAACCAGTCCATTCACAAGCTTGGCATTAGTATGTACTGATGATTTATAAATCTAGCTTTAACTAAAATAATTTGAAGCTCTTCCAGCTGAGACAATTTTCTGATTCTTTGCGAAATACAGACATCCTTATTCCTATATATTAGAAGCTATTAGAAAAATAACATTTTTTAATCAAAGAGGTTTTTGAGCTATTGAACTCTGAGACTTTCTTAGCTTTCACTGATAACTATGCATTGTAAACCCTAAGTCAATATATTTTTGGTGATGGATTTAGTGATCAATAATCACATTTGTGCTTATTATGTTGATTCTGAAAATTTACTTGACTGTTCTACATGTTTACCCAAAAGAAAAAATAATGAGAGAGTTTCGTAAGATCTTTGACCTTTCTACTCTTTAAGAAATGAAACCAGCTAGTAATATATATTCAGGACCTCCTGAATATTGGCAGAGAACAGAATGTTTACTCAGGAGTACCTTGGTATAATACATACATTGTCTCTTGATAGTGGTCTTAAAACTTTTATAGATTTCACATTCTTGATATATAACATCCAGTAAAAATTCATTTATTTTTTTTTTTACTGTTTAACTCTACAAATAACAATATATGTGTTTTCCTTGACTAATTTCCAGCCTCTTCGATTTCTGTTCAAAATTCCTATGAATTCTAACTGTAAACTCTAGAAGCCCAGCACTAGACTTCTCAATACAAATGCTGTACCATGCTTATCTTTTGTACACAAAGGCAGTGTCATCTCAAATTGCCTAAAAAGGTCATGTATGTAACCACATATCCAAAACATTATCTGTGAGGGCAGAATTACACCATTTTATTTTTTTTCTAATCTCAGTATTAAATCTATTCCTTAGTAAACTCATATGCTGTTTTGAATTGTAGGAATTATTCAGCCCTCTATACTTTTAGAACCAAAATGCTTCATCAAAGACACCACTAGTGGCCCGGCACCTGTAGCTCAGTGGTTAGGGTGCCAGCCACACACAGTGGAGCTGGCGGGTGCCTGTAGTCCCAGGTGTTTGGGAGGCTGAGGCAAGAAAATCAGTTAAGCCCAAGAGTTGGAGGTTGCTGTGAGCTGTGACCCCAGGGCCACATAGTGAGATTCTGTCTCAAAAAGAAAAAAAAAGGGCACCAGCAGTCTCAGAAGCAGTGCAGAGCCTTCTCTTTAACTGTACTCTTTCACATTCACAGTGCTTCCTCTGATACATCTTCTGTTACATCTTTGTGCACAGTTGATATCATTTTGTTCTTCTATCATTCTTTTCTCTCCTTTATATTTTTTAAATTTTGGTTCTATTCCCTGACATGTGTTTTAGCATGCCCCTTTCTTTGAATTTGTTCTAATAAGCTTATGCATTTTTGTTTTAAGATAGAACAGGCCTTTTTTTTCTTTTGGTCTCCTTTTAAGCCTGTTGATTTTAAAACAGGTAAATTAGCCATAGTCCACAGTGCCTTGACTTTCCACTGCCAACACATGGGGCCTGGCATTAGATACACAAACCTCTTTAGGGCACTATTTTGGTAGCTGTTCAAGTTTACCCAGAAATTGTAGCTGGTGTTTTATTTTACTATATATTCATTCAATTTGTTCATTAATATCTAACTATGTCCAGGGTTTGTTTAGGAGTAAGAATTTCTCTGTTCTTTAGTTGACCATATTTTTTTCTGGTATAAAAAGAGCCCAGAAGTCAGCCTTATTGCTAAGTAATTAATTATGTAAAGCCATCTAGGTTCTTTATAAGATCACTTCTATTTCACATATATATAAGAATTTGGCTAAAAGAATTATACTGCCTGCATTACTAATTGTAAATACTTGACTACACTAATTAAGAGAACAAAATTATTAAAGTGTTTTCAGGGATCGTAGTCCATATGTCACCACCAAAGATTTTTACAGTATTACAAAGTGTAAATATCCTAAATTTCTGTAAAACATTACAGAATAACGTTAGATATTATTCTTAGATAAATGTTTTCTTGCTCTCTTTTTTTTAATAACAGTCTGTGCTTTCCAAAAATGCTTGAACTTTTGTGTTAAAAAACATATAATACTATTTTATATTAAATGAGTAATTTGTATTCTTAATTGGAATGGACTAAATTATCGTTTGATTTATCTGGAAAATTAAGGAGTTTATATATATTTTAAAACAATTTGCTACGTTTTCTACTGTCTAGGTTGATTCATTTGTGAAGGAATTTGATAAACTAAGAAAATCATTCTTATTGTGGTATGTAGTTTATATTGCTTATTAAATGTCATTTAAGACTAAAGCTTTCTGAAAGTATAGCTATTTCTCCTAAATGTTCTTAAAATTTCATCTTTTAGTAGTATTCTATGGATATATGTATATTAACTCTTTTTTAAACATTGACCATGACTTAACATTTTGTCTTCTGATATCTTTTAAATCTGTAAACTTTTGCAACATTTTAATCTCTTTGTGAAGGCTATTTTTAAGCCCTAACAGTATGTGGGTAATTTTACAAGTGTGTTTTTTGAAAACTTTAACATAAAATAAACTAATTTTATTAGTGGCAATTTGTATTTTTTGTGTGTCAGAGTACATATGTTGGATTTCATGGATTGGTATTATTTCTTATTGAGTATGTCTTGATTAAATAATCAGTGATATGTGTACACACTTAAGGTCACAAATCGCCTGTAATCCTAGCACTCTGGGAGGCCAAGGCAGGTGGATTGCTGAGCTCAGAAGTTCGCGACTAGCCTGGGCAAGACTGAAACCTCATCTCTAAACACAACTGGGTGTTGTGGCTGGTGCCTGTAGTCCCAGCTACTCAGGAGACTGAGGCAAACCAATCACTTGAGTCTAAGTTGAGGTTGCTATGAGCCGTGACACCACGGTGACAAAGTGAGACTCTGTTGTGTAAAAAAAAAAAAAGATTACAAATCACAGAGCAGATTATAAAAATCATCTACATTCTGTAATGGTCATCCACAGGACTATGAAAGACATACTGAGTGGTTGAATTTGGTTGTCAGAAAAGGAAGATGGGGCACTCTTAGCTCAGTGGATAGGGCGCCAGCCACATGCACCTAGGGTGGCAGGTTCAAACCTGGCCCAGGGGAAAAAAAAAAAAAAAACCTGGCCCAGTCCTGCTAAGCAACCAAAAAATAGCCAGGCGATGTGGCAGGTACCTGTTTTCCCAGCTACTTGGGAGGCTGAGGCAAGAGAATCGCTTAAGCCCAGGAGTTGGAGGTGACTGTGAGCTGTGACGCCACAGTACTCTACCAAGGGCAACAACTTGAGACTCTATCTCAAAAAAAAAAAAAAAGAAAGAAAAGAAAAGGAAGATAGGGCCTGGCACCTGTAGCTCAGTGGCTAGGGCGCCAGCCACATACACCAGAGCTGGCGGGTCAAATCCAGCCCAGGCCTACCAAATAACAATGACAACTGCAACCAAAAAATAGCTGGGCATTGTGGCAGACACCTGTAATCCCAGCTATTCGGGAGGCTGAGACAAGAGATTCACT